TTGATACCAACTGATAGGGCTGTTGTAAACGAATATTTTAGTAATCGAGGTACTCGAATCATTCGAGGAATCGTTTCAGCCCTACCAACTGATATGAAACGCTTATATCGCGATACAGTTTTCAGCCGTACCGTCCAATAATTATCAATACCGACTGATGCGAAACATTTATACCATGGTACGTTTTTCAGCCATATCGTCCAGCCCTAGCTGATCCTAAAAATGGCTACCTCCGAGTCTTCAGCAACAGCTTCCACACTGAAGAGTGTGGAGTGGTGTGTTAACTAATCGGAAAAAGAACAGATCATTGAGTTTAACCAACCAGGGCCGATCAAGCTGAAAGGTGATTTCTCGGTGCATCTCTAGTTGAAATTGTGACACACTGGATTCACGTGAATAGCAAACAAGTTGGCCTCAATTTGTTTACGTTTCATCATTGGATTTAAATCGTGCAACATGCCTGATGAGTCCAACCGGATCGTTGCTTAGTGTTAAATCCAGAACATTTCAACACGATAAATGTGTTATCGTGTTACTTCAACCATGGCTGGACGCTGCTGGTGTTAGTGGGAACACCGTGTTCACCTCCCTTCACCTCACCTGGTGCTCTCTGATCATGACAGCAGCAGTCTGACCCGTGTCAGGTGTTCAGCCAGCGCCTCTCTCTCTGTCCGTAGCACCCACACCAACCACAGGTCGTCCTTGCTCCTCTCACTCAGACCTGGGGTCACATTTTCACTTCTCCTCACCCGCCAATGAGCTCTACTTCCCTTCCAGGGTTTCAGACAAACTGTTCTCTGTAGCGTCTGCTCTGCAGCAGGCAGCTGACTTCCTCTTCGCCTGACCTCAAGTCAGAGCGCACTCTATGATCATTTCTGATGTTTAAGCTCACGACGGTTATTAATCAGCTCAGCCGGGGCGCTCCAGCCAGCAGGAAATCTCTTCACTGCTAATGCAGCGAAGCGTTGCGTAGTAAACGTCTCAGCAGTACAGATGAGAGGAGGAAGAGGAGGGGGGGCAGTGATGATGCAGGAGTCTGAATTGGTTACAGATCTGCTAAAAACATTGAGTCACTAAAGTGATTGTTCCAGTTTATCATAACTTTTATCTTCACGCCTTAATGTTGCTGTTGAAAATATCACTAATGGATAATTCGGAGAACAGAAACTTGGGGGGAAATATGTGACGTCATAGTCTGTTTTGTTGTGAATTTGAACTAAAAAAAAAGACTCAATGTAGCGTTTTCTGCATCGACTTGGAATGTTTCTGGCACGTTTACGCTTCAGCCATGCTGGAAATGATAAAGAAGAAATGCTAAAAAGCAATTTATGAAGAGTGATTAAATATGCTCTGCATCATTTTACTCCTTTTTTTTATTGCCACCTGCTGGCCCAGCTCACACTGGTGCAAATTAAAACACAGAGTTGAGGAATGGGTAAAAATCAAGAAAAGAAGTCTCATAGATGTCTAAATTTTTGAAAGGAAAGTTGAATATCCACTAACGCTGCAAAATACCCCTGAAAAAGATTAGATTTTTCCTCGATTACAGGCAGAATCAAACCTCTATATTTTTCTGATTGTTGGCGTCAGAAATGACCCACCATGTTTCACTTTGGGCATTTGCTTTATCCAAATAAAGCAAATACATACATTTTGTAATATTAAAAAATATGGAAAAATTCAAGGGATGTAAATAATTTAGCGAAATTTCTTAATCTTTTGCTGTCGGACTAAAATATATGTTACGGCAACAATTGTATCACTGCTTGGTGAAGAGTTTTTCCCACTTAAAGGAGAAATCCATGTTGCTGTGCTGGGACTGTTTCCAGTTTAGAAACGCTGTCGATGTAAGTTTAAAGTTGTCATAAACTGGAACATTTCTTTTACACAGTCCGTTCAGTAGTTCACGTTATATCGAAAACACGTTTGGAATAAAGATTAGCTTGATGTTTGAAGCGGCTGAGCTTGGAAAGCTGACAAAATGTTAATAAAACTCCCAACCTGTCGTCTTGCCTCCTGAGATGGCGGCTTCTTCCGGCTTCCTGCTCGTCTAACTGCCGTCCAGTACTTCCGGTCTCCTCTCCGTAGGTTCCAGATCTTCTGAAGTGACTCCTCCGTCTGAAGCGGGCGCTGCTTCTGACCCGCTCTTTTCCTGCAGTTACTCTCCCTCCTGCTGACCCTTGTCTCCTCTGGGACTCGTTTTTTTGTTGGCACCGATTCTGATTTCATATCCAAACAAACTAACAGCGACTCAGCTAAACAACAACAAAAATTAAATAAAAATCCCGCTCTTGTAAAGGCCAACAAAAACACGAGGTTTTCGTCGTAGATGCAGATTTGAAGCACTTCCTCGCGTCTCTGTTAATCTGTTTCTGTTCCCTCCCTCTGTCTCCCCCTGCAGGCGGCTTCTTGGTATTATCACAAAAAAAGATATCCTTCGTCACATGGCCCAAATGGCAAACCAAGATCCAGAGTCCATCATGTTCAACTGATCCGCTCCTTCCAGGACGGCTGGGGGGGAGGAGGATGTAGCGAGGAGGAAGAGGAGGAAGAGGAGGAGGTGTGCCTCCTGAACGGCTCCAATCTCTGACATCCGGACACCTTTTGTTTTATTTCCTTTAACGTTCAGCTTTGCGGGCCCCCGAGCCTCACTGAATGACTCGCTGTGGCCCCCCCCAGAGACTTTTGGGCCACCAGGAGGAGAAAAGCGACAATGAAAACATTGATACTGTCGTCTGGCTGCTGAGGAGAGAAAACGGTCACGTGTTGAAGGCACTTTTTACACACACACACCCTTTTTTTTTGCACTCAGACACTTGAAACATGCATGCTGTCTCCAAACACACTAACACACACACACACTCACATGCGCTGACCTGAAACGTTACACTTGTTTGCACTCTTGCTGCGCCTGCCCTCCTGTCCTGTGGGGGTCAAAAGGTCAGAATGAACCGCAGACGAGGGATGCGATGATGGGACCTCGATACTTCCTGCGCCCTCACCTCCCCTCCATAAAAACACACACATACACACACACCTCTGACCTGTCCGTCCTCCAGAAACAAACAAAAAAATAACACGTTGTTTACCTGTGAAGTATGCATGAGTGTGTCTGCAGCGCCTCCACATTCCAGCCAGGTCACAATGGGAACTGCACCCCAGCTACACGAGTTGGCTTTAATATCCGTCTCCCTGCGTTCGTGGATGGGTGTGTGTGAGTAAACCCAGGAAGGGATGCGCTGAGATGGAGTCGGTACTTTATTTCAAGAGCAAAAATGTTCCCGTTCAGAAGGAATGAAGAGAAGAAGGTGAAAAGTTTGGATGTTTTTATTTTTGAGCCACTAGTGTGCGAGTCTGTGTGTGCGAGTCCATTAATTATGAAGGCAGGTTGTGTGTGTTTGTGTGTGTGGTTGAAGTATAAAATGAAAACTGTCAGATGAAAACCTTGCTACTCAATATGAGGGTTTTTTTTTCCACTGGAACATTTAAAAACACCTGATCTCACTGCAGCCAATCAGCTTGATGCATCAGAATTGGTCTGTTTTGATTGGTTGAATTTGTTACAGTAAGAGTGACTCCTTTTTAACATCTCTTTCCACATACTTCAAATTACAAATTTTGTAATCTGGATAGATTACAAAATCCCCCCCAAAATTAATTTATTTCAGTAATTCCAAAAAATGTAATAAACATGTATGTGACGGAGTCTTTACACACGGTGTGATTTCAGGCATTTACTTGAGCTAATTTTGACTATAACATACACCTAAAAAATCTGATTTAAAGAAATCAGATTTGCAGATAATTGTAACATTAAATTGTATCAATAAAACATTTATTATAGAATTACAATCTTACACAAAAGTATGTCAACTTTTGTGCACTTGGTCAGGGTTTTGAGAGACTTGCTGAATAATTGAAATATTTTCTTATCTGAAATGGAGCAAGACTTTCTCCTTCCACTCAACTTTCCAGCAGTTGTCATGGATACAGCCCTTTATAAACGGCCAGCTTCTTCAGTGAAAACATTTTGAGGTTTACCTTCAGTGACTGCAGGACTCAGAGGATCAACTCAGAAGTGTTCCCTATAACCGTATAATATTTAGTCTAAAATCATTTGTTTTATTGGACTTGCATGATATTCTAACTGTCTGAGAAAGTTAAATTTGGGTTTTGGTTATTTGTAAGCCAAAATCAGACAGTTAATGGAAGAAAAATGCTTGAAATCTACTACTGCGTATGTTTGAGAGTGATTTCTTGCATTGCTGAGATAAATGTTTTCCACCTTGTCAACAGGAACATCTGAGCTGCTTTAGCTCTCAATTCATTTGATCCCTAGTTTGTTTTTGCTTTGTTTAATTTTGGAAATATAATATAAAGAATAATTAACATTTGTGTCGTTCTTCGAAACTAGGAGATCTAAATCTTGTAAAAACTACCAAACATATTTTTTCTGTGAAGTTTTGGCAAAACAATAATAACTGATTTAAACAGTCCCCTAAAGTGTGCTCCTACTGTCTTAAAAACTGTCTAAACTGCAGCCCGATTCGTTGCTTTTGCTTTTCGCTCCTCTAAATCTGAACGGGTGTCTGCTGCCGCCCCCTGGCAGGCGTTCTTCGTGCTCCTCTGGTCTCGCCACGCCTCTGAAGTGCCTGATGGGAGATTGTCGGGCGTCGCTTCCTTTCGTTTCGTTCTTTGTCCTCGCACACCTGACATTTCAATTGGAAATTATGAAGGGAGGAGACTCTGATGAGAAAGCGGACAAGCAGTAGCACATATAGAGTGAGTGAGTGTGTGTGTGTGAGGGGTGTGACTGCGGACCTGTGTGTGTCTTTGTGTTGCGGTGACTGTCCTCCTGTGGTTCAGCGGAGAGCAGAGCATCATCTTTGTCAACCAGTGGTGTTGCCTAACATTGTATTTCATACTGAACCCGATGTTCTTCTCCTTTATTTTATAATTTATGGGTAGTGTCGATACAGTTGTGAATTATTATTATTCTGAAGAATTTTATGTATGATTACATTGTTTGATTGTACATTAAGAACAGAGAATATGTAAAGAAAAATAAACTTGTTTTAAATTAAAAGGAGAAAATATTGAAGTTGCACAGATGAGTCTCTGTGTGATGCTGTCGGCTGAACTTTAACAGACTTCACATCCCGTCATTCACGCTGAAATTTAGCTTCAGTGAAGGTTTCTGCAACAGCTGAAGATAAATGTATTTAAATCTTTCGCAGTAAATGTAGAAGTCTGAAATTATTTAAGATTTCTGAGCTTAATACAGTGCCTTGTAGTACTACTAGCCCCTAAAACCTTAAAAATACATTTTGTTGGGATCTCATGACAGAGCAACACGTTGTCCAATAGTTAGGAAATGTAATGAAAATGATGCACAGTTCAATATTTTTGCTTTTTGTTGGTCTGTTGCATGAAATCAGTTTTAAGGTGAAAACGTTCAGATGGTGTTTGGATTTATTTCCAGTAAAGATCTCAATTTTCTAATATTTTTATCATCCGAGTACAGAACCTTTCCTTAATTTCATTCTCTAAATATTCCTTAATTCATAATTAAGACTCAGTTTAATCAGCGTTATTTTAAAATCTATAAACGCCACTGATTTACGACTGAATGGTGATTCTTTCTAGAACAGATATTGACCTGCAGTGCTTTTAGAGAGGCACAGTGTTCATTTCAATTTAGTTGCTGCTCAACAAACATTAATACTTCTCATCCAAAGAGACAATTTTCTACTGAACTTCACTGATTGTGTTTAGAGACGGTCCTTAAGGAAGGACAAATGCGTCTCTCAATGTAGGATGGTTTTTAGAGAAATAATTAAATGCTTTTGGATGCATTTCTTCAGTAATAATGTTGGGGTTTAGGACTAATCTGCGTTTTCTCTTTGGGTCAACTGATGCCTTTCCTTTAAAAGGTTTGTTTTTTGGAACTAGTGCCTTTTGTTTGACAGTAATCCGACAGGAAGCGGGCAGAGACATACGGCAAAGAAGCCGAGAACAAGAGTTGATGTCGGGAAAGCCGCAGGGGGTCTGTGGGCACCCACTGCCACACGACGCCTCCTATTTCCTCTTTTAAAAAAAAAAAAAGCATAAATACTAATATTCCTGGTCCAACTGCATAAACAGCAATATTTTACAGTCGGAAAACCTAAAATTCTCGAATAAGGAAACAAAAAAAAGACGGTTTCCATAGTTTTTGAAATTGTCCATCTTTTTTCGTATCAGCGTTTCTGTAGGTTTCATTAACTCAAATTAAAACTTAGAACCACTATGAATTAAATTGAAGACTTGAATCACCACAGAAACATTTTTGCACCCACCTCAAAACTTATTGCAAAATGATTTTTATTTTATGTTTTTAAGAAATTGAAATTAAGTGAATTTATTTTCTAAATGAAATTCTGTGTGTCAGTGGAAACACATGAGGCCAATTCCTGTCAGACAATGTGACGCTTCTGGATAGAGACCCAAGTTTCACTTCAGGATGATAAAGGAAGATAAAAAAATCTCTGCCGTTCGCAGTTAGAGAACTGCTTCAAAGACGAGCATTTCCATAGCAACCATTATCATCATGCCTCATCTGCGTACCATCACAAACATAAACATTCAAACTTTTCTATATCAAAGCTGCAGCAGGTAAAATTCATTAAGAAAATGTTTTTCTGTATTTGGTTGCGTGGCCTGCGCAGTTGGTAACACTGTTGCTTTGCAACTAGAATTGGTTAGAGTTAGGGAAAATGTCTGGGTTAGGCATAATCACAACCACTAAAGTGAATGGAACTCAATGCAAGGTTCTGATATGGGTAGAAATACAAACTTATGTATTTCTATTTTAGTTTTTGCAAGGCTGCAGTAGGGAGTTCTGAGAAAATTGTTGACTTAGCCTGAAAATTTGAACAAGCAGACCCCTCCCTCTTGCTCTCTGCTGTGCTACAGATCTCACTGGTAGTGGTGGAATGCATTGAATGTGCTAAGACACCCCTTTTCGTTCTGATTGGTTGTTCCTGGACAGTAGCAGAGCTGGAGGAATTTCCCCAGATTCTCTGTTTCCATGCAGAAAGACCCAGGACCTTTTTGTTGCAAGGCAACAGCGTTACCAACTGCACAACCAACATGAAATCAAAAATATATATGAATTTTACCTACTGCAGCTTTGATATAGAAACATTTTAATAGTGTTTATTATGCAGTTTTATTTAATTTCACTTTGGGATTAATTAAGGGTCTTTGAATTTGAATTTAATTCTAAAATTGATCTTGTTTTGTTAGTTTTTGTTTGTATTGTGTTTTGTCCATTGATTTTGGAGATGGGAACTTTATTTGAGTCGAGGCCTGTCTCTGTTTTGATTTCCTAGATTTCCAGATGTTATCAAAACCTGGGTTTGCACAGTGACCTTCGTTATTGAAACCAGGGTTGGTGTAGCCTGGGTTGGCATAAAAGCTGAGCCAGGCTATTTTGTCCTCTGGAACCTCTAACTGTATTCACATTTATGTTTCTGTGATCCGATGTTTGTGTAGGCCCTTGTCTTTGAATGGACCTCCATGGTTCATTGAAGGTCTGACTTTGCATGGACTCCTCTCTTTCTAGGGAGCCTTCTGTTTGCATAGTCTCCGTGCATAGCCTAGCCGAGCTAGGCTATGCACGGAGACACCTGGTCGATTGAAGGTCTGTCTTTCCTTGGACCTCCATGGTCGATTGAAGTTCTGTCTTTCCTTGGACCTCCATGGTCGATTGAAGGTCTGTCTTTCTTTGGACTTCCATGGTTGATTGGAGGTCTGTCTTTCGTTGGACCTCCATGGTCGATTGGAGGT